TGTGTGTGTGTGTGTGTGTGTGTGTGTGTGTGTGTGTGTACTGTGTATATTTATTATGTATATATCAGAGGTGGGGGACTTGAGTCACATGACTTGACTTGAGTCAGACTTAAGTCGCAAATTTTAGGACTTGAGACTTGCTTGACAAATATTCATAAAAGACTTGACTTGACTGACTTGATATTCATGACTTGAGACTTGACTCGGACTTGAGTTAAAGGACTCGAAATAACTTGTCTTTCGTTTAATAAATATCTGGGGGGGGTTTAACGCACCGCAACCTAACCAAGTGACGCAGCAAGCAAGCAGAGCATTCGCAGTGTTGCTAACTTAGCGACTTTGTCAATAGATTTAGCGACTTTTTTCCCCCCAAAAAAGCGCTTAGCAACAAATCTAGCAACATCTTGGACAAACCTTATAGTTTGTGAGCACTATCGAATTAATTTTTTTGCAAGTGGAATGCATTGTAAATGGTTATTCACTGTTTATAAGGAAATGTCAGCTTTTTTGGCAGTAGCACTTAGTATATGCATGTTCAGTACAGTGTCTAATAATTGGTCTTCAGTGTTAGACTTTGAGTGAGAAGCCTATGGATAGTTTATGGGGATGCATAAAAGAAAAAAAAATCATACTGTTGCGAATCCAACCATGCATACACAAACAAACAAAACAAAAAAAACAAACTTGCAAGCACAACCATGCACACGCATACACGTGCACACACATTCACTCACAAATAATATTAATAAATCACACTCACTCAAATCACCTCTCTTGCTCTCTCTCGCTCTTTCACACTCACACTCACACACACACACAGATTAATAATGTACATTATAAACAGGTGCAAGGTTTGTGTGATTTGATTATTAATATTTTTTCTTGTTGTTATTCTTTTGTTAAAAAGGAAGGATCTAACTTGAGGATCTGTTCATGTCCCATAAAGGTTATGCCTGTTTGAAGAATGCCATTTGGTGGCATAGAAACCATTTTACTTGAATTGTTTGTTTAATACTTTTTCATGGTTTTCTTCAATGTTGAGGTCTGCGGGACTTTTTTATTTATTTATTTATTTTATTCCCGCTCCCGCAAGGTTTTATTCCACACCCACCCGCTCCCGCTATATATTCACTCTTTGTTCACCCGCTTTCCGCTTAGAATAATTTTCTTCCCGACCCGACCGTTCCCGCTAAATTTAGATCTCGTTTCCAGAATCTCACATTGAAATTTCCGCTACTGAAAAAAAGAGCAATAGGCTGACAAATAAAAGTGTAGTCTACTCTGCACAAAATTGTATGTTATTTTATTCGTCTTGTCAAGAGTCTTGAATTTATTGACTTTGACTTGAATTTATATTAATTATCTTAAGAGACACAAAATTAGTTTAATATTTTATGCAACACGGTAGGAAAAAGTGTCAGAGAAAATAAAAATGTTGTACAAATATTTTATTTCTTATTTTTATTCGTCTTGTCAGGATACAATTCGTTTAACATTGACAACACAATAGGGAAAAAGTGTCGCAGAGAGAAAAAAAAATACAAATGTAGGTTGTACAAAAATAGCCTATTAGTTATTTTTATTTGTCTTTTCAAAATACTAAATTAATTTGACATTTTTCTGATAACACAGCCTATAATTTTAAATGAAAGATGTCGTATTTATTTATTTTTCTCTGCGACACTTTTCCTACTAAGCAAAATATAAACAAAACAGAGTTGAACGTCCTTCAAGGACAGCACTTCCACACTTTGCTCCATCCTTATTCTGCTCTGTCACTCATCGACAACCTGCCTGTTCTGTCTGAGGGCTGTATATTTACCACAGGTAGCCTACATCCTGTTCTGAGCATCGTTATGCACATGCTGCGCACAGACCATGCAAATAAAACGCGTGACGTTTAAAGCATGCGTGCAGCGCATGCATAACAGTCTTGAGCGCAAGCTGTACCGGTGGTCAGTAAGAATAAAGCGCAGATATGCTGTTCTAAATAGACGTCAGGAACGGGATATTGTTAGACTGCCCGCTCCCGTTTAAATTACACCAGAGTTACCAACTGCTACCGTGTTTTATTCGGGAATTTTATCCCGCACAAAAAATCCGGTCGATTCCGCGGGAATGCAGACCTCTACTTTAATGTTTGAGGCATATTGAAACAGCTGTACCTAAATACTTTTCATGCTTTTATGTTGGACTAATTTCAGTTACATTTACATCTTAGGCTATGTAGTTTTAATTTTTATTTATTTATTTATTTATTTTAGATTTTTATTGTATTAACTCAGCTGTATGTAGACACTTTTTGAGTAGAAATGCATGTTGCAAATAAGACTCCCATAATCCATAACTACTGTAGTTTTAAGCTATTTTAATATATAAATTCAGTTAAATAATCAAACATTTGTATGACTTGACAGTGACTTGCTTGACCCAAGCTACGACTTGACTTGAATTGCTTGACAAAAGCAGTGACTTGACTTGACTTGCTTGATTCTCACAAAAATGGACTTGGACTTGCTTGAGACAAATATGCATGTTTATATATATGTATATGTATGTATGTATATGTATGTGTGTATATATATATATATATATGTATATATATGTATGTATGTGTGTATATATATATATATATATGTATATGTATGTATATGTTAAAAATCCTACAATGTGATTTTCTGGATTTTTTTTTTCTCATTTTGTCTCTCATAGTTGAGGTATACCTATGATGAAAATTACAGGCCTCTCTCATCTTTTTAAGTGGGAGAACTTGCACAATTGGTGGCTGACTAAATACTTTTTTCCCCCACTGTATATACACACACACACACAGTGTACACACATATATTATATAAACAAAAACTTTTATTTCTGTATGTGATTTTATTTTGTCATTTGACAGCACTAATTAAAAAAAATTATTAAAAGGGAAAACAGTTCTTTTGAAATTGTCAACTGTTTTTACTGCATTTTTTATCAAAAATGCAGCCTTTGTGAGCGTAAGAGACTGTCAAAAACACTTTAAAAAAATATTACCAGCCCCTGAATTTTGAAAGGTAGTCTAAATAAAAATATTGATGCAATTCCCTGTGCAGTACCAATGCAATATCATAAGTACAATAGCCATATATGATTGCGTTGGCAGTCTGTTAGTATGTGTCTGTCTGATAAAATAAAGTTGAAAGCACATGTTTAGCCTGGACTCGACATAAGTTTATTGATGTGCAGTTGAGTTTGTTTTATCTGCTGTTGTCTGTTTTTCCGTTTCACGCTGCGGTGGACTATGGGAGGGGGTCGTTTTCGGTTCTCTTCACCTCTTTCTCTTCCTCACCCCCCTCCCTGTTTCAGGATCAGGGTGGAGTGCCATTTCCTCCCTCTGTTTTCCAAGGCAATCTGAATCTCTCACTGCCATTAATGCACAGCCTTTCTTTCTTTAAACACCTCACTCCCGGCACTTAAAGTGACATCTTTAGCTCCACGGCAAGCCCTGTCTTCCGGATCAGTTTCCTACTAGTTCACTTATCTCGCCGCTATTATTAATGTCTGATCCATTAAGGTCTGATATCTTGACTCGGGCTGCTCACGCTCAAGTTTATTGCAGCTGAATGGTATCTGCATAACACATTTGTCTGTTTTCTCACCGAACTCAGTGGATGTGCGTCATTCGCTGATTGTCTTTCCAAAGGCTGGGACTCTTCACCGGCTGTGCTTTTAGGATCTGATCATGGATTTGTGGTCGACTACGAAACACCAGCAGCTGTCTACGGGAGCAGCTCTTTTCAGGTGTTTCCCTTTGTGAGACATTCTGGCTTTTACACTTCTTATGTACTCAAGAAACTGGAAGTCCTCACACTTTAGAGTTGCGACACTCCGTTCCTCAGACTCTGTCTTCCATCTGAACTATTGGATATATGGTTGGTTTTAGATCTTATTGTGCTCTAGGACTATCGCTTTTCCATTCGTACTCCTACTTCAGCATTTTCTCTTACGTTCTTCTTGATTTGGAGACGCCAAACAGGAAAGGAAGTAGACGCTTGTATGGCTTGCTGCTTTCAAACAAGTTGCCATGGCAGCTGTAGTCAAGGTAGGCTGATGCATCCACACACTAAAATGTAGTAATGGGGGACACCGTATTAGTGTTTAAATAAGGAGCAATTTGAACCTGCTTGTTGAGCTTTATGAGTCTTTATGTTGTCTGTTTTGCCTTCTCTTCTCTGAATTTTTCACTCTGTTGATTTGTGGGTTGCAGGTGTTGGTTGCTTATATTTACTTATTTTACACAAAGCATAGGTCTCACAGGGCATCCTGTGTTTACTGGGCTTTGTTAAAGGGTCATGAAACCCCAGACTACTTTTTCTGAGATTTTAGAGGAGGTGTTTGTGTTGCACATCAAAGAAGACAATGTTGGCATCCAATATTTTTGACTGTTGGAGAAAACTGGTTCATTTTAAGCTTTTTTGCGCTGTTTTCATCTTCCGGGTTTAAAATCGACATCGTGTTGACGTCACAATTTGTGACGTTGCAATGGACTAATAGTGCATCGATGACGCTTCGGTGTCTAAATTATTCATGAGACTGTGTGTTAGTGCTGGGCGGTATACCGGTTCATACTGAATACCGGTGTTTATTTTTGTTATGATATGAATTTTTAAAATACCACAATACCGGTGTATGTCGCTTAAACAATGTTCGGAACGCGACACTGTTTGAAAGGGGTCCCTTTTCACTGTTGCACTGTGGTGAGGGAACAGCTGTATGTGTTACTAAGCGTGAAAGTTCTGAAACTGAAGCTGTAGAACTAATAGAACGTGATGACACAGAAGAACTCATCCACAATATCCACATTGACCTCCACAAATATCCCCCGCCCCCTGCCATCAGCTCCCGCCTCTCACACACATGAGCGCGACTTTAGCACTAGATTTAGCAACTTTCAGACCCTTTTAGCGGCTTTTTTCCATTGAATATTCATACTGACAAACCTAGCGACTTTTTTTGGATAAACCTTAGCTATGGTTCAGTTGGAAGATTTCGCCAGTGCTGTCCCGCGTACGCAAGGTCTGACTTTCCCGGAGAAGTGTCACCTCTCTCGGCGTCTGTTCTCTGCAGTGAGCGGCAGAGAAGCAGCGCATTCATTTGGCCGCACCGCAGGCGACTCGTCAATAAATGAGTGCAAAACAGCGTTTCCTAGCACCTGTCGCTTACTGATTGTTTGGAATTATAAATATGAGCGTAGTTCGTCTGTTAATATCACATGCACTTTTTTTTAGTTTGTTACTCAGAAGCTGGCAGTGCTCTGCATGAGACAAAAAAGTAATCTAGCCAAAACAACCGCATAGCCGCTCTTTAGTGTAGATGCATGTTGATTTTATCAGACGATGCCGCGATTATAAATGAGAGTGACTCCTGGTTAACATGTATTAAAAGGGGTTGTGTTTAGTCACTATTTAGAGTGGTATGTTTTGACAATATTCACTTATGACAGTAAAATAGGGCATTCTAAGTCAATATACTGCAGTATTTCCTCTCTCAATCAGTAGAAAATATGGTTAACATCCGGTCATGCATGAAAAAAAAAAATACCGTCATGTACCTTGAAACCGGTATAATTTTGAAAAATACCGTGATATAAATTTTTGGTCATACCGCCCAGCACTACTGCGTGTACTTATCCTATGAGATGATGTTTCGCTTAGTTATTCACAACAGCATGTGTTGATTTGCTATGACAGACTTTTCAGACTGTGAGATGACATCGTGCACGTTAACTGAGAGAAACGTTCATGGATCGAAGAAGAGTGTTTGTTTTTGCTTTGTAATAGGAGTTCGGCACAAACGCGATTCATTCACTTGGTGAGTATAACCGTTTTTACAGCTCTGTGACACAACCAGTCAAAAGGCTTATATAAACGCTACAGAATAAGCCTTAAAAGTTCTCAGAGGTGCAACAGCGCGTTCATATATATGTTTTCGATGCAGAGTATTTGTGTTTTTAACTTGATGGGAGCGAAATGAAATGAAGCTGTGCATGTTGTCTGTCTCCCCTCTTCCCCCTCCTCCGCTCCGCTGCGCACCACGCCCACTTTTTTAGCATTTTTTAAAACTAGAGGCA